GTGACTGGTGAGATTTGTCCTATGTTATAGATACATTATACAAATTTGGTGGGTTTTTTTTTTTGTTTTTTTGGATTTCACAGAGGTGTTGCTAGAGACCAGAAAAAATAGTACATCTTGGAAATATGATTTATTTCTAAATCCATCAGACTTTTAGAAAGGTGAGGCAGCGTGACTGATGAAAACCAGGGAAATTTTGGGGCAATCCAGTCTTCTCTGGAAGACAACTGGATGCCCATGACATAATTGGTGATAACGTTTAGTCCAGTGTCATAATCTTATAGTTTGAGAATGGTCTGACAAGTTATTTTCCCCGTGGAAAACAAAGGGCACGTGGGACAGCACTGGGGAAAGGAGTTGGGGCACAGAGCAAGGGAAACAGCTGCTCCTGGGTGCAACAGTAGAGTCCATATATCTGAAAAACCACCTCAGAACCCAGAAAAAAATGGGCAAAAGTGGATAGCAGGGCATAGCCTTGTGCTAGGGGGGATTTTGGCTCAGCTTTTATGTCTTATTCTGTCCCCAGGAGGGCCAGAGCTGCCACCCCAGCCCCATCCCCGCACATCTCACCGGTTTTCTGCCAGGTCATACCGTGGTTTTCCAGCAGAGGGGGGGATAGGATCACTCCTTCCACCATCGAGCCGCCTGCGCTCTCTTGCATTACTGGCATTAACGAGAAATTTGAAGAAAACGCAGTATTATTGATCCCTGCATTGGAAAAGCTAACACATTCTTTTAGCCAGGACAAAGTGTTGGTTAGGAGGAGCCAGTGTATGTAGCCATGCAGCTCCATCAGAAGGTTTTCGATCAACCCCATTGAAGCAGTAGAGAACTCAAAAAACTTAGTTTAAAAGCCTTGCAATGTATCAGGTTTTTTATGGGTCCAAGCTACAAGGTTGTCTCTGCAGTATGGCCCTGATCCCACACTTAAGTGCATCCTTCTTTTTTAGCCATACAGCCCATGCGATTCCTCGTGTGTTTAAGGCTGTGTTGTATGTTATCAGACCAGTTCAGCATTCAGTGACACCAAATGAGGACTGGCACGGCCAGCACTAGAGATGTGCTCATCTTCTGGTCCTGAAGTGGACCTTTTCCACACCTCTTTGCAACCACTGGGTTCACTAACTGGGACACACACCTGATGCACATATATGACACATGTTGGTCCTTACAACACAGCATCTCACTGCCGGAGAATTTAAGCTGGGGATGAAAAAGGGAAGAACGTCAGGAAATGAGATGCACAGCTGGTGCACAGAGGGGAAAGCACGTTGGTGGTTGCAGAGGTTGGTCAGCCCTGTTATCAGGACACGACAGTTACCTGTGGGGTGGGTGAAGTGCTAAGGCTTGGAGAATAAGCCCAAGCCAGAGTTGACCTATAGGTGAATCCTGTATATTTTATAACAGATATAACAGATAACCATTGTGCTACTAGGTGTTATACTAAGTCACCACAAACCACCTATTCTGATGTGAAAGGTGGAAGTGTTGAAGCTTGAGCAACAGGCCCTGAGCTGAAGCTGCTCACCCAGTATGTAATCATTAATGAAACATGCATGGAAGATGTAGTTATCTTAAATGCATCTTTTCCTTCCTTTGTGTGTGGATAAAATAACAGTCATGGAGCCCGTCGTCTGTCACTGAGGCCTGATGTGAGACCTTGCGCATAATCCAATTAGATAAGCAGGGAAACTCCCTGAGCTTCTCCCTTGAGCCCTGGCCAGGCTCTGGGGGAATCTAATGGGAGACTGAAACCAGGTATTTCTGCCTAGAACAAAGGTGCCAGCTATTCTGGCTTGCTGATTTGGGGGTATACAAGGCCGGACCCGCTCACAGCGACTTTGGCAGCCTCAGCGTAGGATTTCCCACTGGCCGGGACAGGCTCTGCAAACTCTCGCTGTAACCAGGGCTGCCCAGCCACTGCGGGTCTGGATGATGACAAAGTGTGCAAGTGGTGATGGATCTTTCTTAATCCCTATTCTCTCTCTCAGGTAGTAATGATTTGATGCATTACACGGTATTTTCCTATTTGTTTAAGTGCGCTGTTGTGTCTTTCCTTACTGTATGTTTTCTATATTATTCTGTTACATTGTTTAGTTATTTTAAGTAAAATACGCCTGCTCTTTTCACTCTGGTGTCTGAGTTTAATTGGTATCCCTGCTCAGCAAAACAGGTGGGACCATCACTGTGACAGGGACCACCGCTGCCAGCACCTGCAGGCAGTGTTTGTCACCCCACCGACAGGGAGGGGGTGACCAGGGTCAGGAATAGCCAGCAGCATCCTTCCCTGGCCCTGCAGTAATGCAGCGTGCACAGGCACGAGGCCTTCAAGACTGCAGAAACATCCTCCAGCGCAGAGCATCAGCAGCGTAAAGTATTGCAAACACCTTACACCTGTCGTATCCTTCTTAATACTTGTACTCGTGTCTTCTGTTTGCTATGCAATATAAAGCTATCTTCCAGATCGAAACCCTTCTGTTGAAGGTATTTGTGCTGGGATTTTGATTTTGAAGTTCAGAGATGAAGACCTTGGTAACCAGCTTTGCTTCCTTGGCAAAACAAGTTATTTTACCCAGCTCCTGCACAGAGAAAGCTCTCCAGCGCCTGCAGAGAGGATGAACTGAGGAGGCCCATGTGTGCTGCAAAAGCACGTGTGAAATGGTGAACTTTCCAAGGGCAGAGCTCCAATTGCTAGGCATAATTTCTCGAACTTGCCATATCTAACATCTCTATAACCTCTGTGCATTGCAACAATCTCTGTATTTAAAAAAAAAAACCAACAACCCACCATCCTGCTCCTGAATGAAAGGCTGCCTGCTCTGCACTTTTCCCCGGGGAACCATGAGAGAACAAACAGCACATGTCAGGTGTCAGTCACATTGCTTAATGCATGACAGCAAGAAGCTTGGATACAACTTTGTGGGTGTATCAAACAGAATAAAAAAGAACAGGACTCTGCCTTTGGATGTTCATGGTCTTCAAGTCAGGAACAAAATTCAGATTTGCAATATTGCGTGAATAATGTACTACAAAAAATATAAATATTGGCATAAAAAAGGATGATTCCTCTAAGTTACTGTATCCCCTACAGCAAAAACTATGCAAATATACTAAAAATAAAAATCTACATATAAAGAAAGTACAAATGCAAATTGCTGGACAACAATAACATTATGTTAGCTCTGGTAATATAACCTCACCCTGGAGCTAGGCTCACGTAGGCAGCCACGCTACCGAACGTGCTGTTCAGGTGCTATTTAAAAGATCAATGCATTCTGCAGGCAGAAATTAATTGCCCTTGCTGGGCCAAACACATCTGAAGTGGAAACCTTCCAAAGTGGAACAAAACCCTGTATTGCTATCAGCAAGGAAAAGTGGGTGTTCAAGTTTGTTTACACTGAGTTCCACTGCCCCTGATCTTAGATACGTAAGAGTTGTAAACGAGGAGTTACGTGTCTTCTAATTAGAGGCTGGCAGTGAAGAGTTTTTCAATGCCAGGGAAAAGAGTTTTGCAACAGGCACAGGCGCAAAGTGACTAATTCCCACCCAGGTTTTGCTGCAGCGAGCTTGCTGCTCAGCCCCGCCTGCTCACAGCTCGTATTTCCGTGCTCTTGGAGAGCCCCAAGACTTGGGTTCATGGCTCATCATCCCGAAGGTGACTGCGCCGCTATCAACAGCACGGCTAGCATTGCAAGCCAGAGGTTCGGAGAGTTAATTCAGGTTTAGAGGCAAGGATCCAACACGCATTTCAGACAAGTTCAATTCATAATGTTATAAATGGAACCATAACTTTTATATATATCACTTTTGGAACATGACACCTTTGAGAAAGGTTCTTTAATTTCACCTCTAACGTGGTGTGCCTTGCTTGCTGCTTAAATCTCTCTCGCACGCCTCCCCACCAGACGACCTCACCTATCAGCGCGAAATTGTTGTTGTGCCTGATTGCACAAACCAGCCCAGCCATTTACCTGGGAGACGTGCCACAAATAACTTTCATTATATATATATGGTGTGTTTCTGATGCTGCTATCAGAAAAAGAAAAGATATAATGCTTCGACAGTTTTGCTTCGATGCTGAGGAGGCACTTGGCTGTGCAAAGCAGCCATTTATATCAAAGGATGGCAGAAGTTTGGAAGAGCTGGAAGAAGACAGGTTTGGCAGACAGCCAGGGAGGCCCCTACCATGGGGACAGTGGGGTCCATCCCCACCAGACCTTTAGCGTGGCTAAAACCTTTTTATATTGTTCTGTCTTAACAGTAACATGCAGGCTGTAACGTATAACAGGGAGGTAACAATGGGGATCGCCTTAGGCCAGTTTCAATCCCCTGCTTTTCTCCCAGGCAAAAGCAATTTAGGTTTAATAGTGTATATATATATATATAAAAAAATATTAAACCCCTTATTTGAGTTCTTCTTGTGTAGGGGAATAAAGGACAAGGACTTTCTGAACTCATCTGAAGTGCATTAGTAGGTAAGGGATTACATTAACATACTCTCGAAGGTCACGAAAAGGCAGTTTTCATTTCATTTCACTACAGAGTTTACCCATGTGCTACATTTCTTCGTGTTTAGCAAAGACAAGCCCCAGGGTCATTCTGAACTTTAATTACATTAAAATAACATGGTAAGAGATCCTTTTATTTTGATAATTTACAATACCAGCTATTGAAATGAGCTTTGCAATTAATTTGGGAAATACACAAAGTGACACTTCTGTCTCGGTCTTCTGTGGACAGAGGACAATTCACTGCCTGCTTAACAGCTGTAATAGCCCAAGACCAGATTTTCCTACAATAATTACACTTTCTCTTGAATTTATTGAGGTTCAAACTTCCCGTGGTCTGCTGGGAACACTTCATTTATGCATGAAGCATCTCAGTTCACTTATGCAGAAGAAAAACCATGGAGATGTAGACCTTTGCTTGAACCCAAAAGTCTTGATTTTTTTTTTTTTTTAAACTAATATCAAATTAAGTTATAGATTCCTCGTGCATTTTTGTAGCTGCTCAGGAGCTCTCAGGGGAATTTTCCAGGCTATGTGCAAGCTTGAGGAAACAGGTATGGGGCAGCTTGGGCTATAGTATGACCAAGTGTCTTTCCAATGGTAATTTTTTCTTTCTTCCAACACACAAAACCTAAATTTTCTCATCTTTTGACTATTATCTTAATAATAAATAATCCATGATGTTATTGCTTTCCATGGTGTTGCTTTCCTATACTGGTGCACATCCACTACTTCTGTGTTAAGATCCCAAGCAGCTATAAGCATCAGAGCCACCCCTAACAGAAGGGTTTGCACTGCACATGGGTAAGACAGTTTCAGATTCAGGGGGCATCTTCCTCACCACAAATCACTTTAGAAAACAAAGATTTAGACTCTTGTGTTGCAGTGACTGCGTAGGGCCATCCAAAAGCCGGGGATAGCTCACACCAGCTTTGGAGATGGGACACTATCTTATTGGGGTGGCAATGGGAAGAAGCTGAATTGACATTTCCTTATCTGGAAGGTACGTGTCCCTCATAACACAATTTCATGATAATCTTCAATTTGCTGTACTGGGAAGCTTCTCCCTGGTCAGCAATCAGATGTATCAAAATTACAATTAATCACTGTGGGGAAAAAAACCCTAGTTTCCTCCTCCTTTAAATTAAAAGGAGGGTGCAAGCTAGACAAGAAACACACTGGTGCAATAGGACTTGATTGACTTTAATGTGGAAACAGTTGCACCACTTAGTATGTTCTCCTGTCAGAACACTGGGAATTTGTTTCCAAAAGGGCAAAGGCCTCTGGGATGTGTCCTGATTCTTTGTGATTTGACCTGTGCTGTTGTCAATGATTTACTGCAGCGTTCTGGAGTCCGGTCGGCTCCGTGCTTCTTCTAGCAGTGCTTGCCCCGCAGCATCCTGCAGCCTAAGGCTTTTGTATGCCGCTGGTCTATAGCAAACATTTACATATGGAAAAACAATGCAGTGGAGCCTGTGTCAGTTTCCTCCTTTAATTCTGTGTTTGCTGGCTTTAACGGCACACCAGGCCACGGCTACAGCGCGCAGGGAGCTCCAGGCATTGCCTTCCCAGAGGTAAGTCCGTTCCTCCCACCCAACTTTACATACAGAAATTACAGGCAAGTCAGTCAGCCCATCAGTTCTGTCCTGACTTGAGGCACACTGTGCTCTCTGTAAACAGCTCCCAGGGAAAAAAAAAAAAAAAAAAATATTGGCAGTTGTCCAAAGCCCACGCTAGGCATCATAACTCCTTCTTATATGAACTGTTTGCACAATGGTTTTAATTTTACAGATGGCTATTAAGCCTTCTTAAACTTCCTTACCAAAATTACCATACTAGGTTTGGGCACTTGAAATTAATTCCTTATACAGGATGACTTACAAGTGAATGTTTTTCATATTCTTTTTCATTACAATTACTTTGCGTTTGACAATGTGAAGTTAACAAGTACATGTGAATGACCCAATTTTCAAACCAAGCCAGATCTTCATACCTCTTTTTTTTTTTTTTTTTTTTTTTTTTTTTTTTTTTTTTCCCCTGAACAATATTATTAACCCATACGAGTGTCACTTAGGCTTTGAAGGAAGGGAATAAACAAGCCACATTTTTTCTAAAGCTATAATGCCACGATAGGAAAATGGTTGGATTTTTTTTTTCAGCTATTAATTTGAGGCTTGTTCTAAAGGCAAATATGACTTAGAAGGATCAAAAAAAGGTATCAGTGATAATTGGAACATGGAGACAAGGAGAAGACGGAACGGAAAAAAAAATGTGGTAGTGATACACTTAATTATGAAGGCTTATTCCGATAATCCCTTTTGAAAATGAACAAAGACAAGATTTTTGATGTTTGATGAACTTATCAAACAAGGCAGAATAATGAAGAGGTAAATGTAAAATCCAATCGAAGGTGAGCCAATTAAGTACTTTGTGAAGTGCTGAAGGATACAGCCCACAAATCCTCCTGTCAGAGCAAAAAGGCATCAATACATGAGTGTCGTCCAGCTCTGTGTTTGTCTTCGGGCTCCTGTTGTTTTTGTGGAGGCACGGTGGGTTTTTATCTCATGCACTGATCTGCATCCACAGGCTCCCTTTCCGAGCTGTCGTGGCTTTCATTTAGTAAGTCTCTTCTACAGCCTCTGATGACTCCCCAATGCGCTCCGTACCTCTGCTAATTATCAATATTTCTCTTTGGACTGCAATCTAATAAATAAAACAGACTGCTCATTAGTTAATCACCAAAATAATAACAATGTTTTGGCTCACAATAACCCCTCAGAATGCTTTGAAGGCTGTGGCAAACAGAGTGGTACTGACATGCCACAGATTGCTCCTCAAGACAAAGAGACACATTATACAAATAAAGATTGTAAGAGTAGGGACAGAAATAGAGATCAGAACGACTGGGCTGGGAGGCAAGAGAAGTGTTTTCTTGCCGTTGTATAGTGATATTCAGTGTATGTGCAGAGAGCCTGATCCAAGGGCCACTGCAATACAGTACTCTTGCCATTTTCTGCTTTTATACTTTAGTTAGTCGCATCTTCTCTCAAAATTTATGCATTTCCTTTTAGAAATACCAACAAATTCCCAGAGTTGACATGGCTTTGTACCTTGCCTTCTCGGCACTGCTGGTGCAGCCATTCCCATCACTCTGCAAAGCCCATGGGAATCAGACCTTGATTTCATACTTGACTGGAAAAATACTGACCATGAGTTCACAGTGGTGTTAAAAAAAAAAAAAAGTGAAATCAATAGATTTCTGAATAGGTACGAGGTGATAAACATTACTACTCCTGGAGTTTGTGATGTGCTTCTGAGAAGGAAGCCAAAAAAGAATGCTTTCCTTAACACTTGTCTCTTCTGGACATTCCTTCTGTTTACTCAGTGTGTTTGGTTTTATATCTGTCTCTTATACACAT